AGGAATCAGGCAGGATTTGGATTTTGTTATTGCTCATGTTACCTTCAGTGTATTCCAGACTTCAAATTCCTCTATTGGCAGGCTGCTTAGAGTGGGGACTGGGGTGTCAGGGCTTTCTTGGGAGTTCTGCTCCACCCTCAGCTCTTTCTTACCCTACACGCTGCCCCTCCACCAGCAGGAGACTGCAATTTCTTATCATTTGCTGCTAGGCTCATGGAGAGGTAGACTAGGGTTGATTCTCTGTTTTCCTGGCTCAGCTTCAGTCTTAAGCAGGTCCTGTTCTCCTGCGCTTCAGGAGTGGGGCTTTCTCAGTGTTTGTGGCCACCCGCCCCTTAGCAGGAAAACTCTGCCTTTTATCTGTGGTTGGTTTGGGGTGAGCCAGAGTTTCTTGCCCACTCTCCCAACAGAGCAGGCCTTTGCTTGAATCTTCAAACCAAGACAGTTTGCTGCTTCTGCCCCTGGGGGAGAGGGATTTTGCTTCTATTCTCCCTCCAGAGCTATGACTCTTTGCCTGTGCTCAAGAAGGGCAAGGTTTTTATCCCTCACCAAAAGTAGATGATTTTTGCTTTTATTTCTCCCTTTGAAGTAAGAGTCTTTTGCCCCTCCTCAGGTGGCCTAGGGATTTTGCTTAAAGGAGAGAAGGATTGTGGAAGCAGATGAGGCTTTTTGCCTTCCCCAGCAGCTGCCTTGATCAACTCCTGCATGCCTGCACCATCGAAGAGGAAAGTTCTCTCCATCTCCTGCCCTTCTCCCACGTTTTCTCATGAGCCCCAGGGGAGGACTGTAGAAAAAAGGCTGCCTGTGAGTGTAAACTGCCCTGTGTCTGGAATGGTATCCAGCTATTCTGACACACTAGCCCACGTGTAGCCTTTTTTTTTTTGGTGGGTGGCCAGTACAGGGATCAATGCTAGACCTTAGTGTTATAAGCACCATACTCTACAAACTGCCCTGTGTCTGGAATGGTATCCAGCTATTCTGACACACTAGCCCACGTGTAGCCTTTTTTTCTTTGGTGGGTGGCCAGTACAGGGATCAATGCTAGACCTTAGTGTTATAAGCACCATACTCTAACCAACTAACTAACCAGCTGCCTTTAAACTTTTTGTTGGTTTCTCCTTACCCATTTGTATGATTGCCACATTTTTGTCAAAGTTGAAGCAGTTCCTATGTCCCCATCTCTCCTTGGAGTGGCTTTACCTGGTTGCCTGTGACCTCAGCTTTCTGATGGGCTCAAGAAAAGCCATGATTTTGCAGATTATCTGGCTTTTTCACATTGTTACAGTGGGAGTGACATTTTCTTGCAGGATTCTACATCCAAAGCAGAAATAAAAGTCCTCGAGTCCTATCACCTCTTTCTTAGACAGCTACTACCACTTCACAGCTGTCCCCTTCTTCCCATTTTGCTCCTCTCCATATTGTTGCCTACATAAGTATTAACATTCTGTCACCATCAGAAGCTAGAGAAGACTGCAAAATAAAATACTTGAAAGTAGCTATATAAAATATAAAAACTAGATTACAGTGTATTGGTTATCCATCGCTGAGTAACAAATCAACACAAAACTTTTAGTGGTTTAAACCATGACATTTATTTTTCTCATGAATCTGCAGGGCTTTGCAGGAACAGCTTGTCTCTGCTCTTCTTGGTATCAGTTGGGACAGCTTGAAGGCTGGGGACTGAAATCATCTGAATCACTTACACATCTGATGCCTGGAGTGGGGAGACAAACAGCCAAGATTCCCTGGACATCTCTATCTCCCTGTGGCCTCCCTAGTTCAGTGGCTTCAAGGCAGCCAGTTTTCTTACATGTTGGCTCGGAACTACCAAGGAGCATGTTGAGAGAGAGAGAGAGAGAGAGAGAGAGAGAGAGAGAGAGATGCCAGGTGGAACGCTTTTATGACCTAGCCTCAGAAGTCACAATGTTTGAGGGCCAGCCTGTGGCTCACTTGAGAGATTGTGGTGCTCATAACACCAAGGCCGTGAGTTCGGATCCCTATATAGGGATGGCCGGTTAGCTCACTTGGGAGAGCGTGGTACTGACAACTCTTTATGCTGCAGCTACACTGAGCTACTTTCCATCCTCCCTTAGCCTTTAGGCCTTTATATATTGTTTTCCTCTTCTGCAATTCTTGTTGGCTCTCATGCTCTTATCCCTCTAATTCCTCTCACTCCAACTCATTTTTCTGGACTCTGCTCCATTAACAGTGCCTCTCTCCTACTTCCACCCCGACTGGCCTGAGACTCTCATATCTCCTTCCTTCTCAAAGAACCCTATACTTACACCTCCCATAGCATTAATCAGGTATACCCTAGCTCCTCTTCCATCATTCTATGTGGGAAGGCATGGTTTTGTTTGATTTGCCACCATGCACAGTGCCTAGAGCATGGCAGGGGCTGAATAAACATTGGTTAGATGAATAAATCTGTGCCTTAAATAATCCAGTCCTGGGCTCAAGTATACAGTCCTCCCACAAACCTAAGATTACTATGGCAGTGTCCTGCCTTGAGTCTTATAATTGAAGTAAAGCAAAAGCTGTTGGGATAGTTTGGAATTTTCAGGAAAATATTGGAAATTCCATTTGATGTGGCTAGGGCTGTTCTCAGCCTTGGGGGACTCATTCCAAGGCAGGGTCAAGGAGTGTCTCTAGGACGTCTTCCCTCTTCCAGCAATCACTCTGGTGGGCAGGCCTGCTTGGAAAGGACACAGGGACGCACCCAAGCAACAGCTCGTGGGATGTTTGTTTATTTGCTGTGCCTATATCCAGAGCCTATTTCGGGAGCAGATACTGGACACAAGCTGGTACCATTCCAGAACTGTCCTTGCCAAGCACTGGGTGATGAGTACATGTGCCGAGGAAGAACAGTCAGTCACTTAGCTTATCTCCCTACCTTCTCTGGGAGGTCATTACCGCTTCCCCCATGTTGGTGATTACCCTTCCCCGGCTTAAGATTTACCACTACATATCGTTCCATTTGCTCTTTCTGTCTGTTTCTCTAAGGACATGAAGAAGGAAGAAAGTTAGGGGTGATAAGTGTTACAGCTCTTTTTGACTTTGTCTAGAAAGACAAAAAAGAAAGGAAATTTGGGTTGATGACTAAGGCTCTCCCAACTCATAAATTTAACCGATTTTTTTTTTAAAAAAAGATGACCAGTAAGGGGATCTTAACCCTTGACTTGTTGTTGTCAGCACCACGCTCAGCCAGTGAGCGAACCGGCCATCCCTATATGGGATCCGAACCCGGGGCCTTGGTGTTATCAGCACCACACTCTCCCGAGTGAGCCACGGGCCGGCCCACAAATTTAACCGATTTGAGGAAGTCTTAACTTGAGTTCCTTGGAGTTGTCAGAGTCACAGGAAATAGATCACCATTTGGGGCCAATACTATTTTTCCTATGGTCAGTCCAATTACAGAAAGGGAACTGGAACAGAAAGAGGTCGTATGACTTATTTATGACCACACAGTAAGCCACAGAGAGATAAAGATAACACCCAAGACTCTTGGTTTCAAATTTAGTGCCACCTTGATAACCTAAGATAAATCTATATTAATAAGTTAGATTTGGGGGCTGGCTGATTACCTCAGTTGGTTAGAGCACGGTATTATAATACGAAAGTCAAGTAAGGGTTCAGATTCCCATACTGGCCAGCTGCCAAAGGGAAAAAAAAGTTAGCTTTGGGAGCTAATAACAAGTTTGGTTTTGGTGAATGGATTTTCACCTTCTTTAGAGCCACTGCTTAAGTTGTCACCTCTAAACCAATTAAGAAACCATAGTTACAACTCACTGGGTTCCCTTCTGTTGAAGAGTTCATTGAGAAGGTGGCTGCAGATCTAGGGCCTTCCTCTCACATTTCATCCAGGTTTTCACATGGGGCTAGAAGCCTTTTAGTCCTACATTTTTTTTGGTTGCTCTAAATCAACCTTCTTATACTAAAATTTCTGTTTCTGAGGTAGAAAATGGATGTAGGGAAAAAAAAAAAAAAAAGCTAAAATCTTGCCTGACTTATAAAAACACTATTTTATTTTCTGGTACAGAAACATTCTTTTACCATGATATGACCAGGTGCTCTTTGGAAGAGTGTTTCATGGCCTTGCTGCTTTTTTTCTTTAAATTGTTACTGAGGAAGAATAGTTTTTTGTTTATCATGCAGGGAAAAGAAAATCTTAGTCTTTTTTTCTTCTTTTTAAACCTATCCATCCAGCTGAAAGCCATCAGATGGGTGTGAAGGAAGAGTGAGGTCTGGCATCTGAACCCCAGGCAGAGATGGCAGATCACACACTCAGTCCAGTGCCAGATGTTGTCAGGGTTTTGGCTTCCACAAAATGCCCAGAGCCACAGAGGGCTACTTGCTATGTCAAAGGTACCCTACTAATAAAAAGCAGTAGTAAGGGCCGGCCCATGGCTCACTTGGGAGAGTGTGGTGCTGATAACACCAAGGCCACAGGTTCGGATCCCTATATAGGGATGGCTGCTTTGCTCACTTCGGAGAGCGTGGTGCTGACAACACTAAATCAAGGGTTAAGCTCCCCTTACCAGTCATCTTTTTGAAAAAAAAAAACAAAAAAAAAAACCCAGTAGTAATAAAGCTATTATCATTAGTCAATGAAAAAAGAAGAAAGTATATCTGGAAATTACAACAAAAATATTCATATCATTAAGCAAGTATATGGCATCATCTAGTTGGTTCCTATCCCTTCGGGTAAGGCAAATACTCAATTCAGAAATGAGCAAATGCTCTCTGAAGATTTTTATAGCCACCCTGCTCATCATTAAGGATCTGGAAAGTATTACCCAGGAAGAACCTCCATGGAGCCATGACCTCAGAATCCTACTCTCAGAATACCGAGATCTGGACCATCAGAGGGGACAAGTTAAAAACAGGAGGCTGGCAAGTTGCCAGCTCCCCAGTGTTGGCATGCATTTGTCTTTACCTCCTCATTGTCTAGGAACATCCCTCTGGGAGGTATTGGGTCAACAGCACCACACACACAGCTGTTCTCAGGAGAAAAGTTTTATGTGGACAACACATACTGAACTAGAATGTGATAAATAAGGAGGAAAGCTTAAGCTCAGCCAGGAAAGCTGCCACAGAGACCAAGTTTGGAACTATTCAGGAGTAGTGTCAAACACTAACACCATATTTACGAGTCTAATTGGGAACCCAACCCTTTTTAATGCAGGAGGAAGTTGGGAGAGAAGTCATGCATAAAAAAAATACATATACAGACATAAACACTCACATTATCACATTTCTTTCACCGATTTTCTCTACAAGGAACAAATAAGACAAAGGAAAAGCCCAGCCTCTTTCCCTAGAGTCCTTATATTTACTATGGATTTGTTAAAGAAGCTCCACATGGGGCCTGGATTCAAGGAGGCAGACTTCACCCTCCTTGACCCTACTCACCCCTGATAATGTACCAAGGGAATGCTTGAGACACAGGCATGAATGCCCAGAAGAGGCAAGAAAAAATATGGCTCGCTTAATTATACATGACACACAAGGGGCCTTAGTTTCTCCAAGCACTTTCACACTTGGTCCTCTACTAGATCCTTAGCAGACATCTAATGTGCAGCAATGGAGCTCAGTCAAGCTGTGAGACAGAGGAAAGTAGTATTTTGATCCAGCACACACCAGGTCAGTCACTTCATCCAAGACAGTCACACACGCCAGTCTCAAATAAGTCCTCAGGGGCTTGCAGCTGTTTGCTCTTTGGAGTGGAAGTTTGGGCTTTTTCCCTCCCTCGATTTCTCCTTGCTGCTTCTGCCGAGCTCTCCACTGTTCCCTCTGGACCCGAGACAGCTGCTTGGCATGTATGTGTGTAATTTATTGTTCTGCTGCTGCTGGCTTGTTTCCGGCCCCTGGCTCGTCCCCGGCCACTGGCTTCTCTACCTGTGACTCTGGAGGAATCAGATACTGGACTTCCTCTGTGCTGATGGCTACTTTATCTGGCTGGAGCCACCTCTTGAAATGTTCCAAGGTGCTACAAAAGAGCAGAAGAAAAGGGTGGCTATATCAGGCCTTGCTGATTAATTACTTAATGATTATCTCAGTTACTCAAATACTCCCTTCTCACCCACCATCAATTTCTTCCTACAATTGTTTTCACTGCTAACATGGGGAGAACAAGGATACTCCTCTGACAGCTGTGCATCCTGGAAGCTCTGAGGCTTAATTTACCCCCTAGTGGGTACTCTGGCTATAAGGAGCACTGGGCCCCCTTCAAATGCAGAACCTCTGAAGGCTTGAGGGGAATAGCTGAATAGTTTATGCCTTGGTCTTTGTTTCCCTCAAAACTGGAGAGGAGAGAAATTGTCAAGGGGAGGAAATACTCAAATAGATACCAAATTATTAGTCAGGCAGAAACCTGAACATCTTATGCCTCTCATACATGAGGCAGCCTGAATCTCAATTATAGTACTTGCACTAAATATGATTTTTTTGTTTGTTTTTTTTGTGGGGTTTTTGTTTATTTCATCCTATAGCAAGTTCCCAAGGTAGAAACAGCTGAGTAGCAAATTTCCCCACAAGGGAATGGTCACTATACCTGACAGCTCTCCTTTTGTTTGGATCTGAGGACAGGGGGGAAGTGTGATTGTCAAGCTCATGGTCGCCCTCCCACCTTGCTAAGTACCCAGGATCCTACACCCTAAAGTTATTAGAATAACTAAGAATCAGTAAAATATAAACTCTAGAAATAATGTAAACCTCAATCTATACTCTTCAATAGCACAAAGTCTTAATCGAAGAAATAAAATCATAACAGCAGATTTTAGACATCTGTCAGTGTATGAGGGAATTACGTTTTGGACGGTTGGATTTCTCAGCCTATTACTCTGTTACCAAAAGCATACCACAATGAGGGTCAACTACCTGGCCCTCGCATATGTGAAGACCCACACAATTCTACTGAAAAATGGCCTCCGATTAAAACGTAAACTTTGAAGTTTGATAACAAATGCAGAGCTACTGTTTCCTCATGCTTGTTCTGAACAATGACAGAAAAAAGTGCTCCCACAGATGTAGGCTCAGGGGAACAAATGCAAAGGTCAGAGGGCAGTGGGAGCAGCTGATTGACTCTAGCGCCTACAGCTCAGGGGAATCAGGTGTGACACAGCATTTAATCTTCATCTACCATATTTTTTCATAGAGTTGTTCATTATTTCTATGGAGAAGAGAAAACCACATTATTTTAAGTAGAGTAGTCCCCCCTTATCTATGGTTTCACTTTCTGAAGTTTCAGTTACTGCAGTCAACTGCAGTCCAAAAATATTAAACAGAAAATTCCAGAAATAAACAATTCATAACTTTTAAATCGCACGCGTTCTGAGTAGTGTAATGAAATGTCATGCCAGCAGCTCCATCCTTCCAGGGACATGAATCATCCCTTTGTCCACTACCTGCCCTTTAGTAATGTAGTAGCCATCTTGGTTATGAGATTGACTATTGCGGTGTTTCAGTGCTTGTGTTCAAGTAACCCTTATTTTATTTCGCGATGATCCCAAAGCACAAGAACTATGATGCTGGCAATTCAGATACGCCAAAGGGAGGCCATGAAGTGGCTTCTCAACTTAATAAGGAAAGAGGAAAAAATCGTATGCCGAGGTTGCTAAAATCTACAGTAAGAGCGAATGTTCTATCTGTGAAATTGTGAAGAAGTAAAGATATCCATGCACAATGTAGGATTCCATACTATTTGTGCTTTCAGGCATCCACTCATATCCCCTGTGGGTAAGGGGGGACTACTATATTGATAAATACACAGAAATGTGCTGATGTGAAAGAGAATTCCTACTTGAGAATTATGCAGAGGAAAGTTTTACCTTTTCTTCTCCAAACTGGAGAGGAGGAAAATATTCAAGGGGAGAGAGAATATAAGTAAATACCAAATTATTCGTGGGTCAGGAATCTGTGCATCTTCATACCTCCTACATTTGGGGCAGTTTAAGGCTCAGTTAAGTTGAGCCTTTAGAGATAGAAAAGGGCAAAATTTATATCATTTTCTGAACTTTCAGAGGGTAGTTGACCTGACCTTAGATGCCATTTCTAGGGAATCTGGGGGCATGCTGATCCGGTATTTACTACTTAGCAAATTAAAAAATAAAATGTTGGGCCGGCCCGGTGTCACATTCGGTAGAGTGCGGCGTTTGGGAGCGCAGCGGCGCTCCCGCCAAGGGTTCAGATCCCATATAGAGACCAGTCCGCTCACTGGTTGAGCACGGTGCGGACGCGACACCGAGGGTTGCGATCCCGTTACCGGTCACAGAAAAAGACAAAAAGGAAAAATAAATAAATAAATAAAAATAAAATAAAATGTAACCATGAAGTTTTATTCACATACTGTCCATGACTTCAGCACATCATCTTCATCTGACATGATGACACTCTCAAAACCAATGTTAATGGTATGTTGCAAACTTAGGTTCTAAGTCATATTCCCCTAAGACATTTTGTTAAAATTCAGGTTTTTACTCCCCCCACCAATCTCTGTTTTGAATAATTTCTTACTAAATGCTAAAACTCTGTTGAGAAGGCTATCAATAATAGCTAACACTAATACAGTGCTTACCATGTGCCACGCATTGTTCTAAATCCTTTACAAAGAGTAATTCATTTAACCCTTGTAACAACCTTATAAAGTAAGAATTATTACTCCACTTTACAGATCAGGAAACTTAGGCACAAACAGGTTACTTACCTAAGAACATACAACCAGTGAGTGGCAGAGCCACTTTTCTGAGTGTTGAGCCCCATGCTGCTCATTGCGGCAGAATGCCCTCTGCACCTTTTGCATCTGAACCACCTGCAGGTACTGTTCAAGTCCTGCCTCCTTCCCTGGCACAAACACCATAGCCAGTAGGGAGCTCAATGGTCTCTCAACTCCCAAGGCATGTTCTGTCATTTCCACTCATCTGGCTATTCTTTTGTGCTGCTTTGTATTGTTAGGTATGTCTTTATATATGTTTGTGATCTGTCCCCTACTAGTTCTGAGGACAAAAGAAGTGGGTCTAAAACTTCCTTATACCACCCACCCCCAGGACACAAAGTACAGTGCTATCACACAGTAGATGCTTAACAAATTCATTCATTTAGTCTATACAAATTTATTGAGTGGCTACAATATGACAGAAATTCCATAAGGCAATGGAAATTCAGAGGTAAGAAAACAGTTCCAGCTGTTGATTGATTACTACTTTCTCAAATGCACTGCATACTTAAAAATAAAGATGATGGTTTTTCCTCAGTTCTATTCAATCTGTGGCCAAGAAGGAGCTGGGGCCAAAATGTAGCTTTTGGAGGGAGGGAGATTTTCATTTTGGCAAAAATACCTGTTCTTAAACATCTACTACTAGGCTAAGAGCAAATACTCATAGAGCAACCTTACAAAGGATGATTTCAGCTTAGAAGAGCTGATGGTAATACCAACTAATATCAGGATTCAGATGTCATTATCCCTAAATTCTTTAGAGAAAGAGAAATGCTGTCAGTGAACTGGACTGGGAATCACTCACCTCTCATCAGAATCAAGTCCATCCACAAAGAACTCTGATGCTAACTTCTCTTGAAGGAACCGATCCCAGCACTCCTTCTTGGCTTGGGCCAGAGTTCGAAGCATGTCCTTAGAAGTCACCTCCTGATTTAAACCTCTGATTCTTCTCAGTTTCTTCTCTAAAGAGAGAAGAAGCGGAACTTAACAAGGAAAGGAAGTATGAAACAAAATTCTAACTAAATCTATTCTTTTTTTTTTTTATGGCTGGCAGGTAGAGGGATCCAAACCCTTGACCTTGGCATTTCAAGGCCATACTCTAACCAACTGAGCTAACCAGCCAGCCTATTTAACTAAATCTAAAAATCAAAACGCCAATTTAAAAATTCTCTCACTGATTAGTACACCCACACTCCCTGCAAAAGAGGTAATTTCTTAAGAAGGACAGATAAAGAGGGATTGAACATTCTTCTTTTTCCTTTGCAATGTCCATAGCCAGCATTATATCAAATAAATGTTTATCCCCGGAAAAGGGAAAAGCCATAGGTTCTCAAAAATAAATCAATGGCATGTTTTGCTTGAAATCACATAAGCCCAGCAGGTATCTCTCTAAGGAACGCTTGTTTTCCCTGACTTGACATGTATATACTATCATCTTTTCTCAACTAGAAAATAATCTCTCTGAGGAGTAAATGGCTTTTCACTTTGTTACAGTGACATGAAGAGGTTTCCAAACCTCATGAGAAAGAATTAGAGAAAATGATGAGAGATCCAACGATTCATGAGACACTAACATTGACCTGATGAGAACTCAATAATAAAAGACCCTCAAGATCTCTATGTGTGATTAAATTCTTGTTTAAAAAAAAAAAAAAAAAAAGAATCTCCCAACATTTTTTAAAGTTGCTCAACTTGTGGCCTGGATGTTGGGGCCTAATAAAAACAAACTTCTTGGGCTGGCCCATGGCTCACTCGGGAGAGTGCGGTGCTGATAACACCAAGGCCACGGGTT